AAAGTTAAAATCAACCCCCCCCCCCCCAAAAAAAAACAAAAACAAAAAAAACCAAACAAACCAAAAAACAAAAACTATTGAAGGCAGCAATTTAAATGGTAGTAGAGGATAAGATTTAGATTCTTCTAAAGGAACATACAGTAATTTTTCCAAATTTACTGTTGATGTGGTACTCCTGATAGCACAAATCCAAGTACCATGTTGGAGAACCAACTGAATATAGGAAACAAAATGAAAACATCCAGCTACTGAGCATTTGGAAAATACAATACCGATGTATTTGTGTAACCTTTCATGGAGAGCTGTGCTGAAGTCAAAGAGGGGATTTTGGTTTTTTTTTCATTAAAAGCTTATTAAATGAAGAAATAGGACAGTCGTTTTGCTTCAGTAGTTAGGGGTCAGAGAGGCGGGTCTGATCTCCTCAGGATATTAATGTCTGCCTTCAGCTGAGTGAAATGAGCCGTCATTTGAGTTAGCTGCAGCTTTATGTGGTCGTCACTAGGGATCCCCATATGTCCTGGGATCTGCAGCAGTCGGAAATGGCAGAATTCAGTTGCAGGGAGCAGAGGGCTCTCATTGGTATTCATAAGAGGTAGCTCAGCTCAATCTGCCCAGAGCAAGTCTGTTTAATGTTGATCAGCTGTCCATCTGATAAACTGAATTGATATGGACATTTCCTCCAAGGGCTGCCCTGACAATGACAGCAGGAGCATCGGGATGTCTTGTTAGTCTTTTTCTCAGAGCTTGAAATTTTGTTAACCCTTTATTAGACCCAAGGCAAGAATAGATGCAGAACCTTGTTGCTAGTGAAGGTTGTATGCAGATGGGCTTTCTCCCTTGTTTCTGAAAAAACAATAATATGCTTGAATTTTGTTGCCTGAATGACTAATGCTCTCCCTGCTTCTGTCTGTCAGAGGTGATTTCCCCCCCCGGAATTTGAAGCAAAATCAGGAATAATATTATGCCAAATTCTAAAAGTATTTATCTGAATAATTTTTGTCTGTGATGATGAAGTAAACATGGTGGAAACCTCTGTTCCCGTCCCCACTCCCCTGTCTCCCATAGCCATCACTCTGCTTTCTTGTCTGCTGTCATACAGCGGCAGAAATCTAACCTGAACATGGATGACTAGGTGTATGTGAGTGGATGCAATAATTAATCTACAGAAAAATCCATTCTGAGTCTTGCTTCTTGGCTAAGAGAGCTTTCTACAAGGTGACAATTAAGTTTGCTATCAAAAGCTTCAATTCTGGAGATGCTTAAAGATGCACAGAACTTTGCTCATGTAAGTAGTTTTGTTGGCATCAATGGAACTACTGTAATGAGTAAAGTTATGAATGTGCTTAAGAGTTTGTAAGATTAGAGCCTAAAGTACCAATTTCATGAATTGCAAATTATGTGGAATTAACAGGGTGATTGAATGCTCTCCTATTTGAATGGATCATTTTCCTCTTCCTCTCCCTTTTGCTTCTATTCAGTTATTGTGGCTGCCTGACATGTCATGGTACTAGTCTAAGATAAGGTATCTGTTGTCTTGAAATCAGATTAACTGCTGAACATGACCATTTTAAGAAGGGGGATGAGGGAAGCAAAGACGCCCTTTTTTCTTTTTTTCATACTTCAACTTGGGAGGTCAGGTAAGCTCCTTTCGAAAGGGAGGCAGTTGTCACAGTGGCTCCGAGATGGCTTACTGGGGAAAGGGTTGGCAAGGAAGTGTAATTCTTTCCCTTCTGTGGCTTGACTTGGTGATGTGATCTATTTGTACTCAGCATTCCTTCACCCTTTATGTTGGCCCACAGAATTGAACATTTTGTTCTTACATCTGTTATATTATTGTCCTTCCACCTCCTCCAAAAAGCAAGAAGTATCTTAGGAAGAGGACATTATTTAGAGTGTAAAGACAATGCTTCTTTTAAAATGCAGGGATTGGAGACTCCTAAATTCAGAACCCATCAAAATATATCAGCATGAGAAGTTGACTTGTAAAATGTCATCTGCTACTGTACTGTACAATGTCACACTTTATTCAGTACTCTAGATGAATTTAGACAATCCCCATAGTTTTTACTAACCAGAACAACTTAGTTGCAACATTAACTGTCATTTGTCTGCTCCCTGAAACACTGACCCCATTACTGGACTGAGGCATCCTATTATTAATTTCATCCCAATCTGGAGAACTGTCAGTCATCACAATGCTGTTCTAATGCTTGGCTAGTTTTGAGTCCATGCTAAGCATGTGCTGATGCCTCCTTCTTTTACTTAATGTTAATTTTACTTTATTAACATTCATGAAGAATTTAAACAAATAAGAGGCAGAATTCTGTTTTCTAGAACCTGCGACTCTTTGACCCTTGCATGCTATGCTTATTCAAGTGATATGCTGTTGTCTTTAATTATCAGTTGTGAACTGTGATTCTTATTTTTTTTTAAGATTAATGAAGCAATAATTCTTCTATAGTTGAAGAATTGTACAACAGTATGCAAAAAATCTGCATTTAGTATAGTGTGTTTAAAGAACATGGCTTACAATCATATGCATGTCTCCAGAAGTAATTCGTGCTCTTTGTTTCCTTTCAGTCAAAGAAGTCTGGCAGAGATTACAGAGCTGATCCATACTGCTTTTCTTGTGCATCGTGGGATAGTAAACATTGGTGAGCTGAAGTCCTGTGATGGACCAATGAAGGACATGCAGTTTGGAAATAAAATGGCTGTCCTGAGTGGAGACTTCCTTCTGGCAAATGCTTGCACAAGCCTTGCTCAGTTGCAGAATACCAAGGTAAAACAATATGTTTCTATCACTATAGTAGGTAACAGCTCCAGTTGCCAGTTAACTACTGAATGGATAAGGCAGAACTGAGAAATCCTTTTACAGAAAAAAATTGGCACAGTTATATTGTATGTACGGCTGGATTGACAGCTGGATGCTGCTCTAAGTCTGTCTACCACAGTATTACAGAAACACTATCACTATTAACGCTTTAGTATGTGTTCTGTAGCAGCATTACTATAGATAGTAATGGATGAAAGGACAGGCTGGTGAATTTAAACTGTGCTGCTGCATCCTAAAGATATGTTGGAGTACAGCACATCTCTGGCACTGTGCCAACTGCAGCTCAAGACATGTTTGGTGCATTATTTAGTTTTACATCATGCCTTTGTAGAAGGAAGAAGGGCTTTTGTTTGTCTTACATTTAGGGGTTCTGTAGGGTTTTCCCCATTTGGTCTGCATACCTTTTCATCTTAGAGTATTTTGTTAGGCATCTGAATATTCTTAGTTATTGTCTTGTCCTTTAAACCTGAACTGTTTCAAAGAACTGCTGAAGCCATATTGCTTAGTGCAACTATTTGAAAGTTTAGAAAATAGGAAACATTTGTCATTGTGAATTAGCTGTTGTGTCTAATATGGTACTTCATATATGGATAGATGGATAGATAGATCTATATGTATCAAAATATATTTTAAAATATAAGTAATGTATAATTATAGTCACTGTTTCTGAGTCTTGTGATCCTATTGTGTTTGTTTTTTATGGTGAACCCATTGTCCTGGTGTTTGAATGCATGTGGTACCTTGAGGATCACTGTGACTGTCTTTCTGAAAAGTGTGATAGTTGCGGAGTTGAGGTCCAGCATAAGGTGCACTGATTCAGCAGTCATTCACTTGAATAATACTGCAGAAACCTCAAATATTAAAGCAGTTTTATTTTAAATATTATATTTGATCAAAATAGAATGGTTGATGATTTAATGCGAATGTGATTTATACTGTTTTTTATCTGTTAGGGATTAATACTTTGACATTTCAGGAAAGTCTAAATATGGTCACCTTAAATGCAGAAAAATGGGAATAAAATCCAAGATAGTTTAGGGTTATAACTTGAAGGGAGGGAAAGGTGTGTGTGTGAAAATATACTGCATGTACTACCCAAGTTTAGGAAAATGTTAAGCATTCCAGCACCAAAGCATAATCTTTTTAAGGCTTGCCAGGAAGCAAGCTACAGTAAAAGGAAGCATAAGTACCAAAATAATGCTTGCTTTTTCAAGCAGTTGCTATACTGGATGTCTAAAAATTCTGCCAAAACATTTTAACACTTTTTCATTTTTTTTTCTGACATCTAAATACTTTCATAGCTTCTATGTGCAATAAGTGGGATGCCATTATGAAAACTGATTGATTTACTACCCCCAATCCTACTAGAAAAGTTCAAAAAATTGAAATAAGAGCTATAGAAATCATTTGACAGGTGCAGTTATTTAAACATATCCTTTGTTTAAACACATTCTTTTGTAAATGATGAATTTTTAAATCTATGCATCATGACTTTTTTCTTCGTAATGTTTTCTTTAAAAGGAAAAGTAAAAATGAGGTACTATTCTTTGGTGACATTTGGCAGCTAAGAGAATTGGCTTATTGAAAAAGCAACATGGAATGCTGTATTTACTTGATTGCAGACATGGTTCCACCCTCCCCCCATTCAACATAGGAAAAACAAAGCCTCATCTCAGAGTAGAGTGTGGGACCACTCTAGCTGGGAGCATTGGGGAATGGTGGTGTCCCCAGCTGATCTGGGTGCAGAGGGAGCCCCAGAGCTGCTCCTGTCCTGCTACTGTGCCATGCTGCAGGGAGCAGCTGTGCAGGGAGTCCGACTTGGCCAGGGTAGTAGTGGTGGTATTCAGGTTCTTCCTTCTAGGGTCTACTCCCTGATCGCCCCCCTCACCTTTCCTGCCTGTCTCCACTGATGACTGGAAGTAGGGGCTGGAAAAGAGAACCTGAGCACCTCTGCCATTTGTTCCCTGCCAAAGAACTGTTCACAGCTGCTCCTTGCAGTGCAGGGCTGAGTGTCAGGAGCATCTCTAGGTCTGGGCAAGTGGCCTGTGGGACAGTTGCTGTGGGGGAGGGCATGCAGATAAGGGGCAGGGGAATAATAGACTGCCTGCCCCCACCCCCCCAGCCACTTGCCCCTTGCTGCTGCTTTCCCTGCTGCAGTGGTGGGGCGGAGGGGACAAATTTAAGACAATTCTCCAATAATTGGATTCTGTACATGGAAAGTTATAACGTATGTATAGTTTTCCAATTTTTCATGTGTAGAATCTAATTATTGGAGGAACATCTTAAATTCAAAGTCATCTTAGATTTGGGTAAATACGGTATATTATAAACAGGACTGAGCATAATAGAGTAAGTCTCTATCTAGGCCTGCATTACTGTTTCAGTAATTTACAACATTGTAGTTTAAACTTAAATATTTTAGCTTAACTTAAAACGGTTACTACCGAAGTAGTTTTATTGTGTTTTTAGACTCTTGTCTAAGCTTGCGTGTGATGCCTTTCTCTCTCTGCTTCTCTCGAGGCTGACAATTAGATATGAAATTCTGCAGTCATAATGAAATGCAGAGCTATTTTATAATTGCCAAGGGTAAAATTAGCAAAGTCAATTATTTTCCCTTAGGCTTTTCCCTGTAGATATTAAAAGGCTGCAAGGTAATTGCCTTAGGTAACACTTTGATTTTTAAATAACATTAAGTATAGCAATTGTTGTTTAATTCTGTAATAATGTTCTTCATTTTGCTACTATTGTAGAATATAGCTATAATGACGTTAACAAGATTCAGGGCTGAAGGAGGAAAGTGCTTCAACTGTTATTTAACAAATGCATATGGTTCTCATCCTTGTGTTTTTTTGAGTGCGGAAGAGTAATTTAAATATTTCTCTATGTTAGGGGCACAAGGAACTTGAATTAAAGATATCTTGAAATGCCAGATGGGAAGCCATAAATTATGTGACCTCTTCCAAGATGGATTACTGTATTGTGTTAATATAAAACATCACTGTCCATCACAATGATGGGGCCAAACCAGTTATATAAATTCTTGTTGTTCAGTCTTGTAGAATAATTTTTAAAAGTATTATTTATTTAGTAAATGGGAAGAAACAGTATCATTTTCTGTGGCAGGATATTTTAGATAGGGTAAGAGTGATATTGTAGCTGTGGTGATCCCGTTATGTGAGGGGCAAGGATTTTTTAGGGTGGTATCTTTTATTCAACCAACTTCAGAATTGTGATAGAGTTGGTATACTAAAAGATATCATCCTAAGAAATCCTTGCCCCTAGGATAGTACTTTAGGGCATGACTCTGATTCTCTCCCTCCCTTCCTTCCCCTAGACTTTCCAAGTTTGGTATTGATTATGGATTAAGATAAAATGCTGAAGAAGTCATGACTACATATAGTACTTTTTGTCATTGTGGTAACATTCTTAATTGATTTGAGTTAATAAAATTGTTTGAGCTAAACTCTATAATAGCTTTTTATTCCCTTCTTAGAGTTGTACAGTATTGCATTTTGATCAGATCTTAGCATATTAATAGTTCTTAGATGCACCCGTATTAGCAGTTTGATCTCCTTACTGAACTATCAATTTCTGGGATTTAAAAATGTGTACTTCAGGTCAATAGTGGCAACTCTTGGCCTTGCAGCTAGTATAAAGTGCAGTATCAGTTTAATATCTAATTTGTCCTTATTAGAGGACTATACCCTGTAGTCATAAGGGTGGACTCTGTGATCTCCAACAGAGCTATTGTTCTATTACATTTAATGTCAGCATGTGGGGCTGTTTCTTTGTTTAAAAAAGTATATCCAGCTAATATGTGCTGCATAAGTCCCAAATGGTATTTTAATAAAATCCTGTTTTTTATATGGATTATGGCGGGTCTGTTGGTTACAATATTTACTCAAATGCAAGATATGGTTTTTCCCCTAATCAACATGGGGAAGGGGGAAAAGCCCCATATTTTATTGGAGTAACAGGGGGGTAGAGGGCAGCAGCTCTGACACTGTATACCCAAGGTTGGGGTTGGAGCTGTGGCTGCTACCTCCACCTGTCCCCTGCAGCTTCTGTTCCTCCCCCTCTCCACCATCCCTACTCCCTGCTGCCACCTGGCCTCTGTTCCCTGCCCCTCTTTCCTGCTTCCCCCCCACCCCCCTTACTTTCTCATTGCACTTTAAGCTCCAGATGGGGCCTCACATGAGCCTGGAGCCAGGAGCACAGAGTACATGCTGGCTTCAGTCCCTGCCCAGCCAGGGAGCTAGGGCTGGGGCTGGAGCTGCTGCCCCCATAACTGCTGCTGCATGGCCAGGCAGGAGCATGTACTCTGTGCTTCCTGGCCCAATGGGGCCTCAACAGAGGTGGAGCTATAGTGGGGGAGGACAGCAGTGAAGGCACCGCAGGGGGCCAAGCAGGGGGGACAGGCATGGGACATGCAGGCAGCAGGGAGAGTAAATGGTAGGGGGGACAGGGGTCAGGCCAGTTAAATACCCTGCTCCCCCCCTGCTGCTTGCCCAGCAGCAATGATGGGGGAGGGGGCACAAATTTAAGATTCTCCCATAGTAATTAGATTATATATATGTAGAATTATAACCGTCTTGTGGAGAAGCCATAAACGTAGTATGCACTGTAGAAACAGTATGTTAAAATGATCTGTAAACAGCACTTGGAAACATCTGTAAACCAGCAGTAGTAGCTTTAGTCAAAGATCGCTTGGATTATAGTATGGGTGTGGATACACAAAAGGTTTATTTTGAAGTAAAGGTGGACTAGATGCATAACACACAATGTGCTAATACAGGTTTTCCTCGATTTTATGTCGGTTCTGTATATGCAAATTTGCTCTTACGTGATGAGTGTTTTTAGACCCATAATTTGTTGTATGTGAGGTAAATTTGCTCTTATGCCATCAGCATAGGTGCGCCCCCCCCCCCCCCCCCAGCCCAAGCAGG